GAGTGGCGCTCGGAGGACAGGTGGGTCTGAGGGGGGCTGCTCGCGCCCCTGTCCGCGCCCCCGCCGCCGCCCGAGTCTCCGCCCTTGAGCTCGCCGAAGTCGTAGAGGCTCCGCAGGGCCGACATATCGTAAGCCTCGGTGTCCTGCTCGCCGCCGCCCTCGTCGTTGTACTTGATGACGTTGTCCCGCATGTCCTCGTCCTCATCGGAGCTCAGGTGGCTCTTGTGGTGGCGCCTGAGGGTGAGGATCAGCAGCACCAGCACTGCGCGGGAGACAGGGGGCGGGGAGGGAGAAGGGGGCACAGCGTGAGGGCCTAGCCGGGCCGGGGTGTGGCTGTGACCCCACTCGCCCCTTCAGGGGAGTGCGCCCAGCCTCAACACTGTTCAGAAGCACCTTACAGTCAGAAACGAGATGTCTGGAAGCTGCCCTTCTAGAGAGATGTGCAAATTGGGGCCAGACCACCACCGGGGGTGGAGGTGGCAGAAAGAGTAGTTTAAGGTATTCGTGAGTACAGGGCAGGGGCCAACCTCCGAGGTCTCTGTCCTCAGCTCTGGGAAGAGATGCACCTCCCTGGACTGCCATGCCGGGGATCGTGAAGGAGACAGCTGAAAGAGAAAGACACCCTCGACCCTGAGCTCTTCTCTACGGTTGCTCTCTTCTGTCTGCTCAGGAAGGCCTGTGGTCTCAAGTCCAGGCCTGCAGGAGCCCCTTCTGGGCTCCAGGCCCGGCTCAGCACCTTCACCCCCAAGCGCCCCTGAAAAGGGATTTCTTCCTGTGTTGTGCCAGTTCTGAGTGTGGCCCCGGCCCAGCAGCAGCAGCCCCTGGGAGCTTGTCTTCAGGTTCACCCTAGATTTGCTGGGGGAGAGGCGGGGAGGGGAGCAGCCTGTGTTGTCCAAGGCTCTGGATGATGAAGGAGCCACTGGAAGTGGGAGCCACAGCTCTACCACAGACCGGACCCTGCTCTGCGGCACGTCTGTCTCCCCTTCACCAGGTAATACACACGCTAAACTACCCCTGGGACCTGGTACATAGAGGTACATCTCCTCTACCCTGGTGCCTGGTGTGTAGTAAACAATCGACTCATGCTCGTGGATAAATGAATGAATGAATGAATGAAGTGTTGAAAGGAATTTCTGGAGACTGGGCGAGGGAAGGAGTGGGAGAATAAATCAATGGTCTGTCCCCTCCTAGCTTTTTTTTGGGGGGGTGCAGTATTAGGGATTGAACCCAAAGTCTTCGCATTGAGCTACATTATCAGCCCCCTTTAAAAAAAATTTTTTTTGAGACAGGATCTTGCGAAGTTGCCCAGGCTGGGCTCAAAGTTGCAATCCTCCTGCCTCAGCCTCTCAGAGTGTTGGGATTATAGATGTGTGCCGCCACATCTGGGCTGGCTTTTTTCTTTAGCTTCCAGGACCGTACCTCTCCCCTTTGTCCTCCTCCCCCTTCACCGATGCTCATTCTGTGTCTCCTAAGTGGGTCTCTCCTTCTTGTCAGATGACCCAGGGCTCAGACCTGACCCTTCCTCCGTGCTCTCTCTCTAGGTACCCTCCTCCATCTCATGGCCTTCACTCCCATTTAGAAGACAACGGCTTCCCTCTCTCGGGTCTAAAGTGTTCCCCTGAAATCCAGATTGTATGCCCAATTTCCCACTCAATACATTCTCTTGGTTGACCAAGGAAATTTGAAATGTCATGTGTCTAAAGTGGAAATAGTAATCCTTTCCCCTTCCCGGCCCTCAGTCTTCCCCTTCTCAGCGATGACAACTCCAGCTTTCCAGTTACTCTGGACTTTCACAGGTTTCTTTTGTTCCCTGATGAACCCCAGTGCCTGGAGTAGTCTAGCATATAGGTGGGACTCACTGGATCAATATGTAAGTAAATCACGGCAGGTGGGTGGATGCACAGGTGGGTGGACAGACACATGTTGGGTACTGGGCCGTGAATTAGTCTTCCCTTTTATTTCAAACAGTTCCAGCCAGGCCATTGGCCAGAGCCAGCTGCAGGGCCATGGGGCAGGGTGCTGGCTCACCACTTAACAAGGTAGCTTATGACAGGGAAAGGGACAGATCTATAGGGAGGGCTGGAAGGAGGGAAGGGGTCAAGAGCGAGGTGGGGGAGATGGATGGACAGCTTTCAGAGCTACAAGCTGGGAGCTGTGGAGGGGGATGCCCGAGAGAGCAGATGGTGGGGCTTGCGGGCGGCAGGCGACAGATGTGCCAGGCCTGATCAGAGATTCCGCCCGTCACCTTTAGAGCACTGACGTGCACTTTCTTCGTTTGTGGGCAATTAGGCAGAAATTTGTTTGCACTGCCTCGGAAAATGAAACCGCTGTAAAGTGCACTCTCTGGAAAAGGTTTTCTGAGCCATAGGCTGGGCCCAGGGAGAGGGGGCTGGGCTTCTTCCCAGCAAGGTGGAGCCTGCCTAGGGCCTCTGCAGGGACCAGAGGGGCAGCAGGCCCGTGGAAGCTGGGCACCATGAGGTGGAGGCAGCTGCCACCTCCCAGGAAATGAGCAAAACTTGCACCTCCCAAGAGTCCCCAGCTCTGGCTGCACCAGGAGCCCAGTGGCAGGACCAGAGCACTGGTGCCTTTCTGTGTTTGGGTGGCGGCTGCTGTCACAGGACACCAATTGAACCCTATCTGGCTCCTGAAATTTGACCTCTTTACTGGGGAGTTCAGATGGCTGCTGATGGGGCCAGGTACTGGTGTAGATCTTGCCCCCACTCCATGTCTTAAGATTTTGCCACAGGTGCTCAAAGATTTGCTCCCAGCTAAAATTCATGGCAGGTTAGGGGAGAAGGGGACACAGAGTGACAGGACCTAACTGGATGTCAGATGCCTGTGTACCGTTACACAAGCCACTTAACCTCTCTGAGCCTCAGTTTCCACATCTGAAAAATGGTTTGGTATACCTGGCCATGCGCTCTCTTTATGGAGACCAAAGATAGGATCAAAGACACAGAAGGATTAAAAATAGGTTTGGTTTTTAAACACTGGGGAGAGGGCCAGTGGTCTGGCCTCGGTTCCAGGTGGGAGGCACCGTCTGGACTAGGTAAAACGCTGCTCCGTGCTGAGGAGATTTCCCACAGGAGCTGCATTTAGACCTCACACACGGTTCAGGCCAGTCTATTCTTGCATTCAGGGGAAACTGAGGCTCCACAAGGGCCAGCAGGGAAGGTAAACTTGGGGTCCCAGGATGGAGGGAAATCAGGGAGGGCTGGTGGCTTTCGGTGGACTCACCAACCAGGATGAGGACACAGACCAGCAGAGCGATGAGCGCGCCGGGGCTGAGGGAGGCCGCCATGACGAAGGCTGTGGTGTTGCAGGACTGGATGGCGCCGGAGCTGTCACAGCCGCAGATGCGGATGGTAAGCGTGCCTGTGCTGCTGAGCGTGGGCGGTCCGCTGTCCACCACGAGGATGGGCAGGAAGAACACGTCCTGCTCCTGCCGGTTGAATCCCAAGTGCTGCGTGTGCACCGCGGCTGTGTTGTCTGCTCGAGGGAAGGGGTCGCGCGTGACTTGGGGCCAGGGTCAGCTCCCCATCCTAGCGAGCCCCTGATTCCTCCTTGAGATTCCTTCTCTACACCCTGGATTTCTGCCTCCCACTGGTTTTTAAGTCTGTTCCTGGATCTCCCCCAAATTTTGCCCCCAGCTGTCTGAAATCCTGTCCTCAGTCACATGACCCACAGTTCTGTCCTCAGCCACCCCAAACTTCTGTTCACAGCTGTCTCAAGATGCTGTTTGCAGCTCTTGTAAGATTTTATTCCCAGCTGTGCCAAGATACTATTCCCAGCTATTCCAAGATTCTGTCCCCAGCTGGGCCAAGGTCCTGGCCCTGGCTATGTAAAAAAATAAAAAATAAAATAAAAATAAAATTTTTTTTGGCCACGCATCTCAACAGCTTGTTTTTGTTCTAAATGCTGCTCCAGCCCAGAAGTCTGTGGTGTTTGGGTCATGGTTTTCTGGACCCTGACAAGTTCAGGGTCATCAGAGAGGACTGGGAAACCGGCTGGCACCTTCCTTTGGCTGAGGGACCTTTCTGCCTTTCATGCCTGCTGAGTCCTGGCTCAGGAGTCTCTCAGTGAGAGGCCGAGCCTGCAGGGCTAAAGGCAGAGCCTCTGGGGCCCGAGGAAGGGACCCTAAAGCATCATTACCCATATCTTTCCTTTCTGCACAGGCCAGAGAGGTTGGTGAGGTGGCACAAACTGTGGTCACTCGTGGCTCCAGCCTGCTCATGGGAAAGCCAGAAAGAGTGGCTGGTGTTGGGGAACAGGTCCCACTTTCTCTGCCTCTCCTGCCTCCTCACACCTGCCCTGTACCAGTCAGGCCACCTGACCCCTGATCGCTGATGGCTCCTCTCAGTTCTGCGGTGAGGTGGTGTGAAGGGTGCAGAGCCTCACAGGTAATTACCCCACCCTTCCCAGCCAGCTCCCAAAAGGGGGCTCTGTCTTCTTGCGGGGGCCTTTTGGCCTTTCTCCCTGTCCTTGAAGTCTTCAGACTGGACTCTGACCTTAGACTTTGGAAGCCAGGGACCCTACTGAACTTTGCACCTCCAGATCATTCAGACCTTGCAGAGCGAGGGAAACGGAGGCCTGTGGGGCTAGTTGGCAAGGAAACCCAGGGTCCCAGGATGGAGCCAATTTCTTCTCTGGCAGCCCCCGGCCCCCAGCACTCCCGATGTGGACTTCCTCTCATGGACACAGAGCAGGAAAAAGAACCCTTGTGAGGACTGACTGGCGACCTTGGGCACACGCAGGAAGTGGACGGTAGGTCCACACGAGACAAAGTTTGTCATGAGTCAACTGCCTTGGAGGTGACGGGCACAGGAGACTTATTACGCAGTCAGCTTTTGTCCAGATTTGGACATTTCTGTACAAGTGTTAAAATAATAATAGTGAGTGCATCATTTACTGGCTTGGAAAACTCAGCTACCTTGGGCCTCAGTTTCCTCATCTGTTAACTGAGAAAAAGTGTATCGTGTAGATGTGAGGGTTTAATGGTATAATTTATGTATCACCCTTAGACTAATTCCCAGCACACAGAAATTCTCCATAAATACTTGCTAATATTTTTCTCTGATTCTGCCCCAGCTTCTCTGTGCCTTCCCCTGTGCCTTTCCTTGTAAAGTTCCTGCTCTCTGGAACACCCTCTCCACCTGCTTTCCTGGGCAAATTCCTCACCCGTCACGCTCCAGCTAAATGTCACCTCTTTTCTGTGGCCTCCTTTCTCCACTTCCCCAGGAAGGAAGGATTTACGGCTCCCCCTCCCTGCTCCGATGGCACAGGTGCCGCGCACAGTTCTGTCACAGCTCTTGTCACGTTAGGTTAAGCTAGCGTGCGCCCATCCCTCTGCCACCCCAACAGCCGGGGCCGGCACTGAGCCAGCGTGCAGAAACGACGCTTAAATGAACCACAACTTGCAGCTAACGTGTGGTGGAGGGTCAGCGCTGCAGGCTCCGGCTTGAGCCTCTGATTCGGACTCTAGCCCTCCTGTCGAAGGCTGAGTCGGCCCCAGTTGTGAAAACATCTGCCTTTCCCTGGGGGAATGAAGGAGATGCAAGAGCAACAGAGGAGAAAAGAAGGAGTGGTGTGGGACTCATTTGTGGGACTGACCGGACGGACGCCTTTCCTACATCTAGCACTTTGTGGGTAACTTAAATGCACAGCGATATTTGATCTTCACAACAACCAAGAGCTGTAACATTGTATCTCTGGCATATATGGAAATGGAGGCTCAGAGAGAATGACTTGTTTTGAATGTATCTAGTGAAATCATCCACCCACCTATCCATTTATCACCCATCCACCCACCCATCCACCCATCCATCCATCCTCCACTATCTATCTATCCATCCATCCGTGCTTTGCCCTCAGTCTACCTATTCATTTTCCCTCCTTCTTGTTTTCCTTCCTCTGTCCTTCCTCCTTCCTTCAAATAAATCTTCATTGATTACTATATGCTAGGCATCAAGCTCGTCACTAGAGGGAAATAACAGAGCTAAATCAAACTGTAGTCCCGAATCACAGCTCCAATCCCAATGTGAGACACAAATGCTAATTGACGAAATCCAGTTTGGTTTTACAATTACGGACCATGGTGAGGGTTGTGAAGGAAAAGTACCGAGCAAGCGTACAGCAGAGGACTTGCCCTAACCTGGGAGTTCAGGAAGAGCTTTTGGAAGAAGTGGTATTATTTCTGAGCCTTGGAATGATGAGGCCGGGGCTAGCGAACAGCCCACTGCGAAGCCCCCGAGATGGGAAGAAATGTAATATACCCAAGGGACTGACCGCGGTCCCTCGGGCAGGAGGCGGAGGAAGGAGCACAGAGTCTGGGTATGTAGTCTAGGCTGTCCTTGAACTCACTGTGTAGCCCAGGCTGGCCTCAAACGCATGGCGATCCTCCTGTCTCAGCGTACAGGCGTGCACCACCACTCCTCGTTATTTTCTTAAAAGTAGTGGGAGGCCACTGATTGGTGGGTTTTAAGCAAAGAAGTAACTTAGTGACATGTCACCCATTTATTCAACAGCAAATACGAGGTGAGTGCCTGCTACAGTGGTCCCTTGACTTATGAATGCAATTCATTCACCAGGACTGGTTGTAACTCAAGTTGGCCAATGAAGGCTCAGGCTCCTCTCCACAGCCTTCAAAGTCTCCGTCCTGTACACAGGCAGTGCTCAGTGTCCTTAGAGAGACACTGGCCGAGGGTTTCTCAGTTAACCCCACACGGGAAAGGATGGTGTCGTGTTCCTTCCAGAACCCTTTAAGGGTTAAATCTGTATTGAAACCATCTGGAAGCACACGTGGCCGGCATTTGGGTCGTAACTCAAGACTCTGGTCATAAGTCAAAACTAAAATTCCGGTCATAGCCCAAGTTGTTCGTCTGTTGGGCAGGTTGTAACTTGAGGGTCCACCGTATACATCAGGACTGTTTTAGGCCCTGGGGACACCATAATGAATAAGACAGGCCTGGTTCCTGCCCTGGCAGAGCCCACCTTCTACACAAGGGAGCTCAGAGGCTAAAATACAAGAGTGGATGTGAAAGAAGAGTTAGGCATTTGGCGTGAGCTAATAGTTCACAGAGACGTTGGCACATTTGAGAAATGAGTGGCTGGCCCCGGCTCAGCCTCGCAATGCCAAGCAGGAACAGAGATGTTTGCTTCTCAAGTTGCCGTCTTGGCCATGCCGCCATATGTTGGGAGAGCTCAGGTCCCTACTACTCCCCCAGCCCATGAAAGGGATTCCCCAGTACCATCCTTTAACCCCTCCAGCTGCCTTCCTGGCAGCAGCTGCCTCCCACCGAGGAAACCGCTGGCCCCTCAGACCCCACCCCACCCTTCTAGGAGGGATCTCCGCCCAGCCCTGCATCCATCCATCTGGCCTGACATTCATCAGTGTCAATCCCTGGCTGCAAAAGCAATATTTATAAATCACGTTTCCAAACTGGCTACACATTTGTACAAAGAAACAGATGGGTTGGGGTAGCCGTTTGTCACCTCGGATATTTATACACTGAGGAGGAGGGGCCTGGCGCGCTCCGGGAAGGGGCTGAGGGACTGGAGGGGGGGCCTTCTCTGTCTGCTCTGACCTCAGCGTGCTGCCGCCACCCTGTTCCCAGAGATGCTCACACCGGAAGGTGCTGTGCAAGCCACAAGCTGAAGAGAAACAGCTGGGACAGAACCTCAGGCTCCTTGGGTTGGGAAGACTTTGAACCTGCAGAATTCAGTCCAGGCCTCTCTGCGTCTCCCGGGGCAGCTCAGGATATTTCTAGAGTATGTAGGCTGGGCTGTACCAGTTGTTAAAATAATTCCAAAAAGGCTGAAATCGTCATGGCTCTCAGTCCTCTCTCCAAGTTCTTCCTGGTGCCTCACTCCGCCTTTCCCTCAAGCATCTTCCTAACTTTGACCCTATCAAGGCACAGTCAGCGGTCCAGGGACTACCCAAGTGGTGGTGAGCATCCTTTCTGATCCTATATGAGCTGCCGCACTGCTAGTTACATAGTTTGAATGTGGCTCCTGGAACTGCAAGTAGGCCTGCATGAAGAGTTTGCTAAGGTTTCTCCCTTTTGGGGGGTAGAGTATAAAGGTTCTGGGATGAACCTGACCTGTCCCAGGGCCCGAAGGGAGCAACACAGTCTGGACCCCAGGGCCTCTCTAATTATATTTCTTTCCAGTCCTGTTGCTCACTCCCTCTAGCCACACAGGTTGCCTTGTGTTCTTTGAATGGCCCAACTCTCCTCCTACCTCAGGGCCTTTGCACTTGCTGTTTCTTCTACCTGGACAGTTCTTAGTTCAGTTATCTGCCTGGCTCACTTCCTTGTTTCCTTTAGATCCCTTCTCACTATGGATCCCCTCAGAGAGGTCTTGCCAGACCCCCTTATTTAAAGTAACTTCTACCCGCATCTGGCTTTATGTTTTGGTTTAAAGTAACACATTTCAGTGAGCATCTGTGATGTGCCGGGCATTGCTCTAGGCACTCAGTAATGAGCAAAACAAAGTTCAGACTCTTGTGAAGGAGATTTCATTATTCTTCCCTCCACTGACCACCTAGCATCTCCGACATAGTATTTATTTGTTTGACTTCTGTCTCACCTCATTAGTGCATAACCTCCCTGTCCTGTCTGCCGTCGCATTTCCAGGACCCAGAGCAGAGCCTGACCGCAGGCACTGTGTCGCCGTAATGACCGATAACGTGTTCAGTGAGTAACTGCTGCAGACAGAAGCTGACGCGTTCTAGGTATAACTATGTGTGTTTGGTAGCCCTCGTCCTTCAGGACCACCCAGCCCTCAAGGAGGGGCTGTGATCAGTGCCAGTTTACAGGTGGTGACACTGGGGTCCCAGGAGGGACAGATGCTGGCCAGTGTGGCATACTGAGCCACTAACAGAACCCGGCCCAGTGCTGGCACTGGGCAGTGCCTGCCTCCCTCTCCGTCCATTCCTTAAGGGTTGAAACTTCAGTTTCATGCAGAAGTGGGTTGGAAGTGGGTCCCACTCAGGAATCAGCCCAGGCTGGGCGGGGAGATTCGCGGCAGAGACGGTGGGCAGAGGCGGGGTCCCTGTACCTGACACTGGTGCAGGCTGGGACTCCAGCCCTCCAAGGACTCCCGGGGGACCTGAGCGGGTCCCTTTCCCTCTTAGTGCCTCCATTTCTTTACCTAAAAATGGGAAGGAGTAGCAAAACCAGCCTCTGGGGTGTCATGAGGATGCCAAGGGAAATGTGAGTGCAGCAAGCACTTCTGAGCCCACAGAGCTGTGTGTGTGAGTGTGTGTGTATGTGTGTGTGTTCTTTTATCTTCCCTTAAACAGGGTCCTCACCCCAACTCTGACCAGATCACCCCTCCCCAAGGTCCTCTCTAAATCTTTCCGATCCCGGATGCTCTTCTTCACTCTGCCAGCCCACAGCCTGCAGCCGGCCCAGACTTCCTGTGATCCTGGACCTACCGCTTTGCCCTCTGGGTGTCTCAGTCCCTCCATCTTTAATGAGGGAAGAGGGCAGGAAAGCCGGGCCCCTCCCTCCAAGCATCTGGGGACTTGGTGGCTCGCAGGTAACTCACCTTGGATGTCAAGCAGAGAGAAATGAGGGTTGCTGGGTGCCTCAGGCACCAGGCGGAAATAGAAGCGGTGCCCACCCTGGGGCTCATCTCTGTCCACCACACTGATGGTCTGGATGAGCTGAAGGGGGAGGAGGGCAGGGGCTGCTGGTGAGGCCGAGGCCATCCGGGCCCAGTGAGAGGCCCCTGGCCAGTCCTGGCAGCAGCCCCGGTGCCCAGCCCCGCAGTGGTACCTGGCCTGGCTTGGCATCCTCGCACACAGCGGCCTCGTAGGGCGTGGCCAGTTCTGGGGGATTGTCGTTCACGTCGAGGATTCGGATCCTTAGGGATGCCCGGGATAGCTGAGCCTGATTGTCTGTGATAAGAGCACAGAAGTAGGGTGAGAGGCATCCAGTGTGAGAGGCAGACGAACCAAATCTGCTACCGTGACAAGATGAGGCAGTGGGTCGCACTGAGATTTTTTTTTTGAGGCAACCAAGGTGATAAAGGACCAGGACTGGACACATCTGGACTCAGGGGAGTGACCATCAGTATCTTCACCCCCACCCGCAGCGCTATACCATCACCATGGTTACCACTAGCCTTGGTACCACTGGCGTCATCACCACCACCAGTACGATGAACACTGGTACCGACCCATGACCGGTGCCGCCGCCGGCACCCGCACCACCCCATCTGTCATCTACCAACTTAAGCAGCTGTACCACCGTCGCCTTCCACACCACTGTCACCAGCCCCACGAGGTGCCATCACCCCAGGAGATCATCAGGATCCCTCCCACTGCCACTCGGATTCGCACCCTCATTACAGCCACCAGCTCTGCCCTCACCATCTCTCCAGCATCCCAGGTCACTGCTTTCACCACCACGATCGTCCCTCTGTCAGCGTCACCGACAGCGTCACTACCACGATCACCAGTGCCGTCCGCGTCCCCGCCATGACCACCACATCCCCCTCCCGGTCCGTCCCACCGCCCAGGGTGCTCAGAAGGAGCCTGGAGCACCCACACCGATCACATCCCGAAGCCCTGCTCTCTGCACATCTCATTCTGAACCGGCCAGAAAAGCCCAAGGTTGTGGCCAGCAAAGCCACCAAGTCCCCACTCCTCCGACTGGGGCGTCCTTGAGCTCAAGACCCCTGTCTCATTTCTCGCCGGGTCCCCGGCACAGGGGGATGTGGCACAGAGTAAGCGGGCTCTACATTTACTGAGGGATGAATGAAGCCTAGAAGGATGGAGACCACAGGAGGCCTGGATGACCCTGACCACTGCCTGATCTTAGGGGAGATCCTGCCCTCTCTGATACCAGTTTCCACTTGGGAAAAATGAACAGGGCCTGGTGATTAAGGGCAAGAACCTGAGGCTAATGGTTCTAATCCCAGCTCTGGCACTTAGGGACTGTGTGAGTGGAGTCAGGTCACTTGACTTCTTTGTGCCTCAGTTTTTCACCTGCAAAATAGGTCTAAGAGTAATAAATTGACTAAGAGTTCACATCTGTCAAGCTCTTAACACCATGTGTATGACACATAATAATTGTAATATAAGCAGACATCCTAGAAATGATCCCAGATGCCACTGTCGATCTCAGCAGCCTCAGGTTGGTCCTTCCAGCCTCCCACTCCCGCCCTGGACACGAGTGTCTTTACTCCAGCCCCAGCTGTCTTCACCATGTGTTCATTGCTGACCCGCTCCACTTACCACTGGCCGTAAAAACACTGCCGGGGAGCAGAAACCCGACCCACCTGCAAGCAGGGACTTGGATGACAGGGGTCTCCAGCTGGGCGCCGGTGGGGGCTCTTTGAGGGCAGCCTGGCAGCCAGGCATCCCATGAGTTTTGAGAGGAGTGGACTTGTCCGGCTACCTCCTTCTCTAAAGCCAGGGACCTATGGACGCTGACGCCAGCTGCTGGTATGTTGATAAAAAGGGAAAAGGAGCCAGGAGGGCAGGTGGGGCTGCCTGCTGGGAGGCCAGGGGAAGGAGGGGGAGTGTTTCATTAGCCCAGGGCCGACCCCTCTCTGGAGTTCCCCCGGCAGGGGCACCTTATCTTCTCAGCTCACCCAGAACTGCTGTCTCAATGATTAGAAGGGGCTCTTCTCAGGGCGAGAGACTGGAGTCGTGGCTGGGAATGCCCATGAGCTGTTATTTTTAAGCGCATTGCCAGAGCACCTCGACAGACAGATTGGAGTGCCGCTCCCCATCTCCCAGCTGAAGCCAAGGGAGGCCAGGCTGGGCCAGGGCCTGAGGGCAGAGGGCCCTCCCCCATCCCCTCTCAGCGGGGGTTGAGCAGGACAGACTGCTCAGTGGGCCGTCACCCTCCTGAAGTGCTGAACCCACCCGCAGCCGAGGCTCCCACTACACACTGCTGCTGCGGGTTCTGCCCAGGCCTCTCCCACCTCCCCTTTTAAAATGTTACAGGTCACGCCTTGGGAAAGCCCTGAGCCCTCTGGCATCAGCCAGGCAGGCAGCGGAATGGGCGTCTAAATTGATACAGCTGCCGCCTGCAGAGCTTGTCCAGGGGCTGGCCTGGAACTCTCAGAGCTTAAGGGCGGTCCCAGTGCCCTTGACGTTGGGGCTTTAGTTTTCTGGCCTGACTATACATTAGAAGCATTTGGAAGCCTTTAAAAATGCCAGTTCCCATGGCTTGGCCATTGGTTTTTTAATAGTTCCCAAGAGTACTCTAAGTGTACCAAGGGTGGCAAGCCATTGCCCTAGGGTGGCAGGTGGAGGAGTCCAGCCTGATGTTGCACTCTGCTGGTTTCCTCCAAAGCCCTCCTGATCATGATTTGTATCACTTACAATAACCAACAACTTCTGCGGCTGCCACCTTACGTGTTTCTGTCATAAAACAAAGAATCCGCCAGTTGTCTCATCTTGCCTTTTGGGCAGAATTTTCCAAATTATAATGCCCTTTCTTACCCGTGACCGCACATGAACCTCAGAACAACTCCCAAAGGAGGTATCATTAAATCCATTTTGTGGAGGAGAAAACTCCCCGCGAGGGATAGGGATTTCCCTCAAGACAAAGTGAGTCGCAGCTGGGCTGGGGTCGGGTCCGAAGTCTTCGAGATCAGGAGATTCTAAGACTTGATCTAGGGCCAGTGGCAGGGCCTTCCTGCTGCCGGGGTCTTTGTCCACCCAGGGGCAGCTGCTGCTGACACAGGCCCATGCTGACCTCACCCAGTGGCCAGGAGCAGCCGCCCTTATGGGGGCTCGGTCCCCGTGGCCCCTCCCCCACCTTGGCACCTCAGTTCAGCTGACTGACATGCAAATTAGTTTAATTATTTCTTCTTCTAAAATAAATTATATTTTGCAGTAGCTGCAATATGTTGTGTCAGGCAAAATTACATTCAATATTTTTAAACTAATTGATGCAGCCTTCAGGAAGGCTGATTGACAGCCCGGAGCCGAGCAGGTCTGCAGCCTTAACCGATTCCTAAATTAAAATTAAACGTGCTCCAGCCCGGTGCTTCCTCCTGAGCTGGCTCACCATCAATCTGCGAGGTGGCAGGTGGAGCCCCGGGGGCCGAGGGCCCGAGGAGACCGGGCAGCTCAGCGGGTGCTTCCGGAAGGAGCCAAACTTGGGCAGGAGCACGCGGTGCAGCATGACAGGCCTCTTCCTCCCCTCCTTGACCTTCCGGTTCCTCAAGTGCAGCGGACAAGGATCGGACCGGACAGTTTGGAACGGAGACTTGTGGTTGTTGCTGACAACTACAGACTGAGGCCTCCCCAGCACTGAGCAAGAACAACCTGGTCTCCTGGTCCAGGGGCAGACATTGCTCTAGACTGTGACAGGGATGTCTGCCCTGACTAGCAAATAACCAGGTAAAGGGGATGGAGAGGGAAAGACTGTGAGGGCGTGGGATCGACATGTGCAAAGGTCCTGGGGTGGGAGAGGAGGCTATGGATCTCTTCCAAAGAAGCCTCCAGCCCCTGGCAGAGTCACTTGCCTGGCACCTGGACCAAACTGAACAGGAAGTGGGCGTGGGATGGGTATGGTGGCAGCTGGGAGCCAGTGCAAGGAAGAGCAGGTGGGGCCTGGTCTGGCAAGCTGAGCGATGGGGTCCTTCTCGAGGATGGCAGCAAACACACATGGAGCTCTTGCCGCGACCCAGGGCCCGCGCTGCCCATCTTGTCCTTTCGGCTACTGCAGGAGGTCGGGAGCAGCACCGCTGCTGTGCCGCTCATGAGGAAACGGGCCCCGAGAAGTGGGTCAACGTGCCCAGTCTCACGGGGAATGACTGACAAAGCCTGAAGTCAAAACAGGGCTGGTTCAGCGGGGCCTCGTGGCTACGGCACTGCCTCCCGGCCTGTCCTCGCTGCAGGGCCCTGAAGAAACGCCTCGCCTCTTCCAGGAGTCTCTGACTGCCCTCGGCCCTGAGCAGTCAGGACAAGTCCTGCTGCCGCCACCCCGGGCCCGTCCTTCACTTTGCCAGGTGTTTGCCCAGCTGGCTTCCTCCTACCCAGTTTGCCCCTGGCCCTGGCTGCCCTGCTTTACTTCGCCAGGTAGTGCTCACCCGCTCCTCGGTGGTCTGACTCAACTCGCTCGTCCTCTTCCCCTCCCCTAGCCCGCCAGTGGGATTTCTCTGTCCTCTACTGCTGTTTGCCCAGCACGCAGTAGGTGATTACTCAGGACATGTCAGTCAAAGTCCTGTGGCAGCCCTGTGTTCTGAGTTCTGAGAGGGACGCTGGGAGGGCTCAGGGAGACAAAGCCCTTCCCGATTCCCTGGGGCTGCATCCCTCCAGGATCCCCCCAGAGAAGGGTGCAGAACAGGACCCTCTCCCTGCGTCTCTTGCGAACGGCATCTTCTCATCAGTAAAAACAAAACACAAGAAAACGGAGGTGGGCGCTGTGGACCTCAGCTGTCACAGAGAGGGCTTGAGAGAGAGCGAAGCGAAGGGGTGGGCAGGAGTGAGGAGAGGGGAGAGGAGCACAGAGAGCCCCAGAGCAGCTTCGGTACCTCCCACCACCCGCTTGCAGGGCTGGGCGGGCCGTGGACCCTCTCCTCCCCAGGGAATTAGATTTGCATCTGAACACCAGGCTCTGATTGGAGCTGGCCAGCTGGGCAGGAAGACGATCGCACCAATTACCGGCCACCAGACAGGATGGGAGGGAGGAGGGGCTGGGGGAGCAGGTGGGGTGCTCCAGGGGAGCGGCTAGGAATGGCCTAGCACTCGCTGCCCTGTCCCACGCTCCTCTGGTGGAAACAGGAGGCTGGGGCACCCTTCTCTGGCTCTCAGGGATGTGCAGCATCTGGTTTGACTTCCACGTGGAAACTGGAGGCTTTGACCTTGTAGGGGGAAGGGGACCGAGGGGTGAGGAAGACTGCTGGCTGGAGTAGGGGCTCTGGCACCATAGGTCCCCCAAGATTTGGGGGAAGAGGGATAGGAGAAAGTTTCCTTTCTGGAGGGTTAGTGGGTTCCTGGTGTTTGGGCTGACTTGATGGGCCTCCCCAAAACAGTCCTTGTTGGCATCTATGGTATTAAGGCGGCCCAGGATCCCAGGTGTTACCCAGTCTGAGAGGAGCCCACACTGGATTTACTTGCCTCTGCTGACAGGGAGCTCACTACCTCACAAAGCAGTCCCTCCGGTGCAGAGCTGCCATCTATCACTGCTGCCTTCCTGGGACTCCCTCCCTCTGCAGCACAGGACACCCAAGCCCTCCTCCTGTCTGTACCCCTCCAGCCCACTCAGCCCTGGAACCTGAGGGGACCAGGTGCAGATGCACCCACATCTGCACATGCCCTCTGCTCCAAATCCTGATTCCTCGGGGGACCTCGAGGCCCATTCTGTTTAAGCAGTGACCACTTCACCCTCACTGCGGCCCACCAGCTCCAGGCACACTGTTCCTCTGCCTTCAGAATGGGCCACCCCACCTCCAGACCTCGGCACACTGGGCTCTTTCTGCCAGGGGCACCGGAATCCTTTCTCTGCTCCAAAGTCTTCCTCAGACTTGAGACCTTTTTCTGTCCTCACAGGGTGGGCCAGGCCCTCGCTGCTCCTCAGGGCCCCCACACGGCCCTTAACTTGCACTGAGTTATCGCTGGCTGCTGCCCTGCCTCTCCCCTGTGCTCCCAAGAGCCCTGCAGCAGTGGCCAGGCCTGTTGTCACCAGATCTCAGTGTCAGCCTGGCTGAGAGGGGACATGGGTGAAGAGACCCTGGAGGAAGCCAAGCACTGTGCTGATCAGACATCGCAGTGACCTCCACTCCCCACCCTACACCTTCCTGCGACCCCTGCAGAGCCCTCTGTGGTCTCTGAGGAGTGCTGGTCACATAGCCTCCTCAGCAGCCTGGGGCAAGGCGCCCATTCCTTGGCCTCAGTCTCCCCAGCTCTGAAATAAGGTGTGGCGGCTAGAGAGCATCATCTCTGACATTTCCCCAGTTCCTCCTCTGCTGTGTATTAGGCAGGCACTGTGCTAGGCACTTGCCGGCTGTGATTCCTAATCTCCAAGGCTTTTGTGTTCTATGTGAAACACCCAGGCAATGTCTGGCCCGGTGTAAGCTTTAAATAAACAGAAGCTGCTGCTGTCATTAGCTGTTATCTGCAGCATCCAATAAGTAGGCATTATCGTCGCCATTTTACAGATGAGAAATCAGAGGCCACGAGAGAGGAGGAGCGACCGAAGCTGTGATTGCTAATCTCCAAGGCTTTTGCGTTCTATATGAAACACCCAGGCAATGTCTGGCCCGGTATAAGCTTTAAATAAACAGAAGCTGCTATTGTCATTAGCCGTTATCTGCAGCATCCAATAATAGGCATTATCGTCGCCATTTTACAGATGAGAAATCAGAGGCCACGAGAGAGGAGGAGCGACCGTCCAATCCCACAGAGCTCGGAGCCGCATGACCACAGCTGGTTCTGTTGTGCAGCCCTGCCTTCTTCGCAAGGGGGGTGGTTGCACATTCCCCCGTCTGCATTTGTCCACTCGGTAAATATTTATACTGCCTACCACGTGCCTGGGCAGTGCAGGCGGCAACGACACAGACAGGACCCTGTCCTCATGGGAGGTACACTCTGCTGGGGAGAAGGGATCACTCAACACTCAGGCAAATGCATCTGTAGACTGCAAAGCGCACTCAGCGTTATGCAGGAAATGCAGGGTGCTGGAGATGTCACTTGGCCTGGGGCGACCCAGATGGGGAGTTTCTAACTGGTCTGGTTAACCGGTGCTGTCCCAGACAGCTAGATATCACCCCTCCAAACCAGCTGCAGGCCTGATGCTCCCGAGGAGGTGGCTGTCTGCAACCCCTGGGGACCCCCAGCCCCAGAACACATGCCCCTGACCCCCACCGCTGTCTCTTTGAAGACTGTCCCTTTCTTAGCTGCCCTTTCCACCGAAGGATTCAGACGCAAATTGTACTTTAAATTCAATATCGGTCATTAATATTTCATGATTACAAAACGTTAAAGATAATGTCAGTGGCAGGAGCGTCTGCATGGGCAGAATGGATGACTCAGAAGTTCGGGGAGAGGGGAGCCGGCATACTAAGTGGGTCAGGAGCCTTTGAGGTGATCCGGTGTGACAGAGCCTCCCGGCTGAGGGCAACATTCTCCAAGGCGCTCACAAAGCTCTGCCACTGTGTGTAAATATTTCCCCTCTGATTCTTGTCACCCACATTTGTTACCCCCTGTGCATCCTCTCTGTTTCAGAAGAAGCCGATAGACGACTCCCAGGGAGGACAGGAAGCCAGGCGGGCAGCTTGGCTATGCACTTCTGGCACAGGCTGGCTCCTAGGGGCAGGAGGTAGGGGGTGCAGCCCTGGGCCTGCAAAGGACTGGCTCTGGGGTCTAGGGTGCATCGCTGTGCCTCCCTGAGCCTCTGTTTCCTCATCTGTGGAGTGGGGATAGATCATTTTGTCTTTATCTCAGAGAGGCCGCAGGAAGGTGGAGTCCATATGTTATTTGCCGCGGCTCCTGATCTGTGGCAGCTCCAAGGAACTATGACTGGAAGGTCTGTGTCTCAGTGTCCTCATCCACACTTTGGGAACAGTGGTAAGATCAGCACCTCAGGCTCATCACTGTAAAGGGCCCCGCCCAGAGTCACTGCTTAAGCCACGTGCAGAGTCAAGGCCACCTGACAACCACTGACTGAACACTCACAAGGTCCCAGCCACTTGCCGCAGACCTCTCTATGGGTCGCGTTTCATCCTCTCAGATGCCCTGCGAAACGGACCTATCTCTTTCCCATCAGTCAGGATCCTGAGTGAGTGTGGGCAGGGGGTGGTAGGGTGCAGCTACGAGAGGAGTCTCAAGCCCAGCCCATTGTATGCCCTTGGGAAAGTCTCCTAACTCTCAGTTTCCCTATCGGTAAAATGGGTACTGATCATGCTACTGAGCAGGAGTCAGGATTCAATGAAAATATGTGTGGGAAAGCATCAAGCCCGCAATATGTATTTAATTGTCAGTGTTTCTGGAGGCTGAGTCTCCAGATCCCTTCTCCTGTGAAATGGTGACATTACAGGCTTGTGTGCTACCCCAGCTATTTTCTAAGACCCGCTGTGTAGAAGCACAACGCTTAACCCGCTAAGGGTCTTAGTAGTGGTGAGATGTCAGGCAGCGATGGGCAGGTGGGGGTGCGTCTTTGTGGAAGGGAGAGGAGGGCTGTGCCGAGCAGCCGGGCTATGACCCCCTGCCTCTGTCTGCAACCCGCAATCTCAGATGCTCACCAGGAAGTGGGTGTGGGAGGGGGGGGCTCTCTTCCCAAGTCCAGCCTCACTTCCTCTCCAGGCACCTTTGTTCCCTCTCTTTCAAGTAGAGGAAGAGTGCATTCAAAGGACGGGAGCAGCGGGCACTGCGAGTGGAGCTGGCTTTGTGTTTTCTTTTCAACTGCAGTTGAAAGAGAGGAAGGGAACTTCAGCCTAGGGACTCCTTGCCTGCCCAGAAAGGGGAAAGGGCCCTGTGGCCTGGGAAGTGGGTGGGAGGGAGAGGAAGAGGAGGAACGTAGGGAGGGGGCTGCAGCTGGCCACTCAGGGGCTAGTTTGAGCAGCCTGCAGCTCAGAGATCAACCGTGTTTTTGGTGTTGAGACTGCTTCCTGATGGCTCTCTGTTGGCTGTGGAGATTTTGGGAAATGACATGTGTGTGTGCGTGCGTGCGTGTGCGTGCGCAGTTGGAGAGTAGGTAGAGGCAGAAGAGTGATGGTGGGCAGACCCCCTGCCCACTCCTGGTGCCCAGGGAGGCTCTGCATCTCCACAGTTGTACTTATCCGGACCCCGTGTCCTAGGCACCCCCCAGTCCACACTCCCCTCCATGCCTCACGTTGCTAAACTGCCTGTGACAGGCACACAAGCAACACTTCTGGAAAGTTCTTCAACCCATACCAAACTGCCTGTGACTCACTTGCAACTCAGGCCAAGCACCTTGGTGTCACCCTGAGCCCTCTCCACCTCCAGGATGAACTCCAAAGCTGGCCGCCTCTCAGCTTCCCTGCTACTGCCCTTAGCTGGGCCAACACTCCACCTCCCAGCACTGTGGCATTTTGCTTCTAGCTGAGCCCCGGCTCCACTTTCAGCTCCCAGTCCATGTTCGATATGGCAGCCAGAGGTGCCCGTGAACAACACCCCTCCTTCACGCAAGCCCTTCCTGAGACTCCCACCTCACATAAGAGCCAAAGACCTCACAGTGTTGAGCACTCTACCCCTCACCCTCCAACAAGCGGCAGCCACCACCTCATGGCCTCTGTACCGGCTCTTCCCTCTGCCCAGACTGCTTTTCCCCCAGAAGTTGACATGACACACTCATTTTACTGAGGTCTTTTGGAAATGTCTTCTGCCCAGAAAGCCTTCCTCTAAGAGAAGCAACGCCTCTCTTTCTTCCCAGCCACTAGAACAGGGCTTGGCATGTAGCAGGTGCTCAGTGCACGAGGGAAGAAAACTTGTCTCAAAACCAGCCCTATTCCCTTGGATTGGCTTGGCTGGGGACTCTTCCTGGTCTTTTGTTCCCGAAAGTCAGCTGTTGTCAGTCCCCTACCTCCACTCAAGAGGCATCTTTGCCCCGCCTCCCAGGGCCTTGATGGACGGTTCAGCCTTTGTCCCACCCCTGACATTAGCCCTGCCACTCAGCGCGCCCCCCATATTTGACTGGGGGCACCGCCCAGCTCACCTGCCTCCATGGCCAGCACCGTGATGTTGTGCCAGCCGGCTGTCTCACGGTCCAGTCCCTTGCCAGTCACGATGGCACCTGTGTCCGCATCAATGTCGAAGATCTGGTCCAGATCTGAGTCTCGGTCAATGGCATACCTGAGGGGTGCAGTGCAGGGCTGATTGAAGGTGTTCCAGCACCAGAGGGAGCCTGTGCCGTTCCGAGAGGGGCACCACCTGCCCCAGACCCACAAGAGGCGGGAAGCCCTTCAGCAGGGAGGAACGGGAAGCCATCTGGGCTTGCATCTCAGTGACACCAGTGCCTGCTCTGTCCATAGGCGACCCTCAGCATTTCTGAGCTCAGTTCCCTGTCTGGGCAACGAGGCCAATAATCATTTGCACTCCGCCGTTGTGATGGCTGGAAATAGGTCATGTGCCTGGCACGTGGTGACAGATGTCCCATTCTTATCTTTCAGTAAGAGGTGGCCCTGGATTTGGACTTGATCCCTGGGAATAGGAGGGGGTGGCATTCAGGGGAGGGGGCACAGAGGAGCATGAGGCTTATTCGGGAGATGGCTAAGGGTACGGAGCAGTCAGACCTGGCATGTGTGGAGCGCACCCAAGTTCAGAGGCATAGACCGGGGTCTCCTGCAGCCTGGGGAGCCAACAGGGAATTCCGAGCAGGAGGGAGGGGGTGGCTATGGGTTAGAGGGGGTTATCCGCAGTCACAGCAGAGACCCCTGACCAGAGATAGGGCCCAGCGTGCCATGGGGAGGGGTCTGGGCTTGGTTGCCAGCTCCTCTCGCCTGCAAAGCACACAGCACGTACAAGCTAATCTGCGGCTTTTCAGTTGCCTCGTGAAAAAGCCCTTTGTTCCGCCTTCTTCCCGGGTCTTTGTGCGGCGGCTCCAGGCCTGAAAGGCCCGTGTCCAACACATGTCTCGGACGGCAGCAGCCCAGAGAGGCCCCGCCAGCACTGGCCGCCGCTTCCCCCAACTGATAACGCGGGCGGGGGCGCAGCCAGGCTGTGGGCAGACAAAGGCCCGAAAGCCAGGCAAAGGCTCATTGTGCAGCCAGGACAAAGCAGCCAGGCGGGAGGCGTCGCCCGCGCCACAGCCCTTCCCAGGCAGGAGGAAGGGAGCCCTTCCTCCAAAGCCCAGAGAGGGAAACTGAGGTCCGGCAGGTGGCACACCAGAGGCCCTGCCTGCCGGGGGCCCAGAGCCTTGAGACGACCTTCAGAGGGGCCTTGGCTGCATGGCCCAAACTCTCCCGGCCTCAGTTTCTCCATCTCTTCAGTGGGGATGACACCTGTGGGGCTGACTCCTCAGCCCCTCACTCTACCTGTGATCCGGACGAGCCCCTGGACGCCCTTGGCCTCCACCCTCTGTTCTATTCATATTCACTGTTGTAGGGGAGGGGGACACGTGGCAAACTGTAAAAGGCTGCACACAAGGGCACAGCGGACGGAGTGAGCCAGGCCCTGGAAGGTTAGGTTAATGCCCCTCCCTGTCCCCAAACTGCTGAGCCCACACACACGTGCTTCCTGCCCCTGACTGGTCCAGGTCTCACTGACCCGGGAGGCTGAGACCCAAGATGATAATTCCTCTTTCTAGCACGCACTTCACAGTTTGTACAGTACACTTCCCCCAGCTGTCCCCTTATCCATTCCTTCATGCCCCAAGCAATCGAGTGCCTCCTCTGTGCCAGTCCTCAGGATACAGAAGCCAAGGATGCGGGCAAGGGCTCTGCTGGGCAGTGGAGCCATGGAGGCTCAGAGAGGAAACTTGCCAAGCTCAGGGTTGCTAAGCACAGTTTTACAGGTTGTGTCATGCACAAAAGTACCAGGATAAAGGGGGAGAGGGGACAGGTTCCAACCAGCATTCGCTCGCCAAGCCCTGTGTTCCGGCACAGGGAGGATCTTCTCAAAGCAGGGGCTTTTTCTTTTTCATTTTGGTCCTGAGGATCAAACTCAGGACCTTGTGCTTGCAAGGCAGGTGCAGTGCCATTGAGCCACATCCCCGGCCTGGGGGCCTTTTCTTGTTTACCTTTGGCTAGTAATGACCTTTCCTGGGTTGCACAGCAACTCGTGGAAAATTGGAATTTGTACCCAGTTTTGAGGCCATAAACCCAGAGATCTTTCCAGCTTGTTGAGCCATCCAAAGCCCTCATGCACGGAGCCTCAGATCTCCTTTGCTCCTAGCCTGTCTGGACCCAGAGGAGGTAGGATGAGTCATTCAGGCCTCCTGGTTTCAGCTTTTCCCTTCCCTGCTTAGACCTCTCCCCTCCCTCCTTCCAGTTTCTCGCTTGTTCCCTCCTACAGCAGAAGAGAGAGGCTGGGACCTAAGTGGAGGCAGCTGTTCCCAAGGCCATCGCTGGGTGGGCAGGGACACATTAACCAGCTAAAGACTTGGGCTGCAGGTCACCGTGTCTGGCTGGCTGAACTCAGGTGTGGTTTTGTTCCAGCTCAGGGAGCCGGAGTGAGGGAGGGATGGGAAGGCTTGGTGTGTGGCAAGGACTGTGACCCAGCAGTCCAGGGTAGGGCAAGCTTGGGCTGTAGGTACAGCACGGGTTGTGTCTGGCTGGTGTTGTGTGACACGAATGTGTGTGTGTGTGTTGCATATAACATGGTGTGTTGCAAGAGGAGCTGCAAAGGCTCAAGAGGCAGCTGCTCCACCCTGGGTCTGAAGCCAGGTCCCTGCTACCCCCAGACAAGTCATTTCCGTCTTTGAGCCTTAATTTTCTGCGAAACAGATGTTAATCCTACCCCGGGTGTTGGGAGAATGAAATGCGTACGAAGTGCCTTGCTGAGTTCCAGGAAAATTACTCCATGAGTGGGAACTACTGTCATTCTAATTATGCTTCAGAAAGGTCTGGCACGGAGGACCCAGGAGTCCCCTCAAGCCAGTGTGTGGCCCTTGTGGGGGAGTGGGAGGGAGTGGCATAGTGTAGGGATGCCGGAGCACGGCCAGAGGTCTCAGGGCAGGAGCAGCTGTGGCCTGGGAGGTCCTGCTTGGATTTGGCTGTCCTACTCCTCATTTGCTCGCCAGGGGAACAGAGCAGGGATGGGTGGGAGTGTGAGAATACTCTGTGTGTGTTGGCGCACGCACGTGTGTAAGCATGCATGTTTGCTTGCCCATGCATGCAAGGGAGACTGGGGAAGGGGTCTGGAAGGGTTGCCCTGATGCCATCTGCCTAGATTTGGAACCTAGCTGTGTGACCTTGGGCTCGTCACCTAACCCCTCTGTTCTTCACTGTCTTCCTCTTGAAAATGGAGATAGTAATACCTACTTCACAGGCTGGTTGTGACGCTAACACATGTGGCTACCAACCAAGCACTCAGGACAGCGCCGGCACCAGCCACGGGATATGGCTCAGCTGTCATTTTTATCGGGAGAGCCCTGTGAAAGGGCTTTACCTTCATGAGCTCCTCAAATCATCCCCAAACCCTTCCCCTTCCTGCTTTACAGGTGAGGAAACTGAGGCTCAGAGAAGCCAGCTAGTTTTCCCTGGGTCACAAAAGACTAGCTAGTAGCCGAGCCAAGTTCCCATCCGATGTCTGTCCAGACCCCCAGGTCTAAGACCCACGGAGGGCCAGCCCAGACACCCCTGCTGGGATTCCACGCACTGCGGGCTGCACAGGACGCTGCTGGTGTCAAGGTCAGAGATGGGAAACGGGGTAGGCACTGCTGCCCGGCTTGTGTGAGTGTGGGATAAATATATGCATGTGTAACCCACGGCCATAACAAACACAAAAGGCAGCAGGCTCATGCAAGCACCAGATTCCTGTGTGAGGCACAGAACACGGAGCAAATGGGGCAGCTCGCCCAGGCTGAGTGGGGCGGAAATTTCTTCCAATATAAAGCAGGCTATCTGCACCCACCCTACCAGATGACTCCTCTCTGCTCATGCCATCCTACCTGTGACTCTGTCTATCATTTCCCCTTAAGGTATTTACTCAGAAGCCTGCACACAATGCCCAGAAAGGTGCAGGTGGTTAGTACTGGCTGCAGAACAGAGAAAAATGGATGTCCAGACCAAGGAAAATGGTAATATGCATTTCCCAAAGGCCTACGTGCTAAGTACTGACTCCTCACTCCAACACTGGGACTTCTGAGCACAGAGCATGGTACATAGTAGACCTTTAACATGTACAAATGAGGCAGGAACTATCATGAGGCCCATTTCAGAGATGGGGAAACTGATGCTCCAAGAGGTGCAGTGTGTCTTGCTCAAAATTCTGCAACTGAGTTGGGATTGGAACCCAGGTCTTCTCGTAACTCCAAAGCCCAAGCATTTTCTGCAGCACCCACTGTGGAACGCTGGGTAGAAGTGAAGTGATCACTTTCTCTGGTCCAGCATGGACTTTGCTGGTTTTGATGTTTAAAGATGGCTCAAGGTGGGACTAGGGCTTCTGGGCTGGGCTCAAAAAGGGCCAGTCCACCTGCAGGGTCACTTCAGATATCTGAGCCCTCTCCTCCTTCTGTCTGGAGCACCCTAAGTCTTCCTCCTGCCTGAGGGATAAAGTCCTCCTTCCTCACCCGACATTCAAAGTCCTTCACAGCCTGTCCCCAGGTGCCTGTCTGTCCTCACCTCCCACCAGGCCCGATGTGAGCTCCTCCAGAAGGTCTCCCTGCTCTGGAACGTAAACTCCAAGGTCTGTCTGCTCGGGACACCTGCCTCTCACTGTGACTCCAAGGAGGAGCACCCTGTCCCCACTCTATGCCTCGTTCTCCCTCACCTTGGTGCAGAGCTCTTTGTCCTTCTTGGAGCTCCCCAAGTGCCTGTCCCAGACCAAACCAGTGAGACGAGGACTGTCGCTGGATCTGCCTACAAAAGGCCCAGGCGTCCACTGGCCCATGTCTGACTCCGTGACCCAAGCAAAAGGAGGGCACAGTACGAATGTGGAAACTGCACTGCTATGATTTGGATCTGAAACGTCCTGTGTTGAAGGCTTGGTCCAGACACCGAGGCGGGCCTAGACAGGTGACTGGATCATGAGGGCGTCAACCTCTTGGACGAAGGAGGCCACTGGGGAGAACTTTGAAGGGTATTTCTGGTACCTAACCCCTTCCTCTCTGGCTCTTTCCTTCTCTCTGCTTCCTGGCTGCCATGAGGTGAGCAATGTTCCTCCACCGCATCCTTGCACCATGATGTTTCTGTCTTGCCTCAGGCCCAAAGTAACAGAGGCAGAAGAGCATGGACTGAAATCTCTGCAACCCTGAGCCAAAAGAAACCTCTCCTCTTTTAAGTTGCTTGCGCCAGGTATTTTGTCTCGGCAATGAAAAGCTGACTGACACATGAGCCAACAACAAAGACAGAAAGAAGCAGAGGTGAAATGGCAGGGGCCGAATTCAGGAAGCTGTGAGTTAAATCCCAGACCTTCCCCTCGGACTGGATGACCTCAGGCAAATTACTTACCCTCTCTGTCTCCTCACTATAATACCTCCAAAAGATAAATAAAGCAATATGAGGCACCTTGCAGTCCCCCTGCAAAGGCCCCAGAAAGTCACTGCACAGTCCATTTCTGCCCTTTTCAGGTGCTGAATGTGCCCTGTGAACTGTAGCAGATGACATCTGTAGGACCCCGCTTTACTTCTTCATGTCCAGGAACATACCAGTTTTCCTCTTGCCTGCCACAGGACCATTGCACTTGTTGCCCTCCTTCACACCTCTGTTTGGTTGGCTCTGCCAGGACCTCAGCTCATTGCTTACATCCCTGACCATTCCATCCTCTGTTTTCTTCCTAGCACTCGTCAGTGCTTAACCATTTGCCAATTGTCTCCTCCCAGGAAAAGGCAAGCTCTAGTTGGGCTAAGCTCGGGTCTTATCATCTGCTTCCCTACTGCATAAAAGACTCAGTGACCCTTAGAACCTGGAGGTGGGACACAGCGGGCTCTGGGCAGCCCATACAGCCTGTGGGGACCCCTTTGGGGCCTCCTGTCTGTTCCCATGTTGTTCCCATGTTGATATCCCCTGCCCGGGGGCCCCGGCCCAGCTCTGCCCTTGGCCAGCATCCTGGCGTACCCAGGTCTGGCTCAGGGCCACATGGAAGACAGGGAGTTGGGCAATTGTCTGTGGTGTTAAACTGGACTGGTCTGAAGCTCCTTTAGCTCAGCATCTGAGGAGCCCCAGGGAAGGGGCTGGCGAAGGAGATGAAAGCAGGCAGAAGGTGGTTTCAAAGTTGGCCCTTTTGGTGCTGATAAAAGGAGGGGGGCAGCAGAGAGGCCAGGGAGGGAGGGGAGCCGACTGAGGAGGGAAGTGGAGAAGAGGGAGGCACAGACGGGCGCACTGACTGCTGCTCCTGCACCCCAAGAGCCTGCCAAAGCTGCCCCTCTCTGGGCCTCAGTTTCCAGACAGATGGGGCGACAGTGCCCTCCCTGGAAAGGCCCGGGGCCTGGCCAGAGGCCAAGGCGTGTACTTGCAGCCTGGACTGACAGCCAGGTTGAGGGAGCTGCGGGGTGCACTCACATCGGAACAAGCTGTCCCTTATATTTACTCCTGACCAGGCCCGGTGCCCAACTCAGTCTAATTCCTCCCTCTCCAGGGTGTCTCCGCAGACCCCTGAGGCCACTTCCTGTCAGAGCTGTGGGCGGTTGAGCAAGACGGCCTCATCTTTGAGCCTCATCACCTAGGGCTGCCATGTTAATAAGCCAGGCACTCAACAGTTCCAAGGAGGCTGTTCAGACAGGCCGGGATGGAGCGTTATCCTCTGGGACAGTACGAGGCAGAGATTCTTAAATTCACTTTCCTCTTGTCACTCCTCAACAGAGAGAGGCACAGAATCCACTCAGGGATTTCTCGCTGACTACACACAGTGGTTCTGGGAAGGCTCAGGGAGCCCCAGGGCCTCTTCCCCATCCACGTAACACTCGGACCTGCTCGCCACCCCTCCTGCGGACCCTGCCTCTGGGTCACCTTCCTGCCTCTTCTTCTACTGGACTTTCGTCTAACCTCAGACACCCAAACCTTGCAGCTCCAGGGCCTTTCAGGGACACCGCCTGCCCACCTCCCTACCCTGCCCGACTCTCTCTGTGCTAGCATTTGTCCTCCCTGGCGTTCTCTGCAAGGCTCCCCTCCCTGTGTCTGCTTTGCCGGGCAGCCTCAACCCCACTTTCTGTGCTGGGCCCTGTCTTCCTCTATCTCTCCCTTGGCTGGTGGGCATGGCTGCCTCTCCTGTCTCTTGGTCCTTCTCTCCTTTCGAATTTCATTCACTCACCATAACTCTCACGAGTGTCCCCGAACGCATGGCTGCAGTCCAGGCCCCGAGGACCCAGTGGGGAACAAATCAGGGTACATGGCTCCCTTTGTGGAGATTACCTTTGAGTGGGAAGGCAAACAAGATCCCCAGAAAAACAGTTAGGGAATGCGGTGTGGTGTGTCAGGGCTCGTGCGGACATTTTAGGAAGGGAGGCCCAGGCGGCCTTGCCAAGAGGGTGACTTCCAAGCAAAGAGGGGGGTCAGGGGAGGCCATCCTAGGACCAGCAGTCACGCAGGCCCTGAGGGGAGGTGAGTGTGGTGAATTTGGGAGTGGGACAAGGTGTAATGGTTGGAGCAGCGCACGGAGGCAGTGCAGAGTGCACGGGGGTGGGGTGCAGAGGGAATGGGAGGCCGGGTCATGCGAGGTCAGCAGGGGTCCCTGAGAGGATGTGACTGCCATCCTGAGCCCTACAGGTGCCTGGGGAGGGTTTAGGGCAGGCAGAGCAGGACCAGGCTGGCTGTAGCCCAGCGTGGTGGTGCACACCTGTACTCCCAGCACTCATGGAGATTGAGACAGGAGGAGTTTGAAAATTCAAACTCAGGCTGGGTAATTTACCCTGTCTCAAAATAAAGCAAAAAAAAAGTGGTATGGGGTTGTAGCTCGGTGTGAAGGCCCTGAGTTCAATCACCAGTACGAAAAATAAACAAACAAACAGGAAACAAACAACACCTGTGTGGATTCTAGATCAGAGAGGGGCAGGGAGACAACCAAGGGCCTTTGCAGAGACCCAGCAGCTCTGGCGGCCTGGCGGAAGCTAGCGGAGGCTAAATTGAGAAGTAGCCTGGTCCTGGGCATGTTTACAGGCAGAAACCCCAGGTGTGCAGAAGGAGGCCAGAGGATGGGGCCAACTCCCTGTGAAAAGTGGCTTTGAGTTTTGATTTACTTTCCCTTTTGGTGGAAAGACCAGGAGCTGGTTCCGAACATGGGGAGTCAAAGTGGCTGGTGGACACTCTGTGGGTGGGCACTGAGAGGCAGGGCCAGCGTGGCCGCCCCGGTTCACTCTGCCCTTCTGTCCCCCTCCTGACTCCCACGTCTCCCTCTGTGATGTCCTCTCTGTGTCCTGGGCTCCCTGGCGCTGTCCTCCTCCTCCCTCCTGGCCGCCTCCCCCCTCTGCCCGC